TTAAATTTACTATAAAAACATATAAGTAGGTCACAATCCATATATTAAATTTACTATAGATCGGTACCATTTCAATATCAGTTCAATACCAGTTTAGTACTTTTTCAAAGCTTTAATTGCAATATTATAATTTTATAGATTATATAGTCTTGTAAATTTTATGACCCTTGTAAATTGTTTAGACTTTTTAAATTATTTGATCTATATTATACTATATATACTATAAATAAATATTATTATTAAAAATAAACTAATAATAATTTAATAAAAAATAAGTAAAATAAAACTAAATTATTTATTTTATTACAATATATAATAATATTAAATTTTATATTATTATTTTAAAATTTTTGTTAATATTAATATTTAATAGTTATAATTTTAATATTAATTTATCAAGAATTATAATTATATTTCTATTTTTAAATTAATTAAATATATAATATATAAAATCAAAAATTAAATATTTTCAATTTACCAAAATATTTTTATTTTATTAACTCAATTTTTTTTATTAATATAAATAAGTAATTTATTTGAAAAAAATTTTTATATGTTTTTTATTTATATTGTTAATTAAATATAATAAATAATTATGATTAATATATTAATTTAAAATAAAATAAGAAAATCTTGTTTTTTTTTCAAATCTTTAAATAAATATTATACAATAGTTATTTGATACTAAATGGATAAATTATAATAATCTAAAAAATTACCAAGTCAATTATTACAAAATTTAAAAAAATTAAATATCTAAAAGATTTTAAAAGGTAATTTCTTAAATAGAAAAAAAACTTTAGTAATCATTAATTATATAGTAATGAAATTTTGAAATTTTTGTTGTTTAGTAATTTAATTAAATAAAAAATTTTCTAATTGAAAATATTTAAACAATTTATTATTGATAATTTTAATAATTTTGAGAAAACAGTAATTAACTTATCTTTTTTAAGTATTTAATCTTATAATTGTTTTGTTTATAATAAATAATAATTATACATGTTTACTTATTACTATAAAAAACATTTGATTAATAACATGATTCTAAATTAAATATAATTTCCAATTATGTTATTTAGTAATTTCAATATAATATAGTTTTGAAAAATATCTGAATTCGATTTCATTATATGTATAGTAATAATCAAATTTTTTTAAACATTCTAACTTTTTATAATTTTTTTGTTATTCATATTTGCAAAATATTTATATTACTAGATATAATTATTTTTTAACCATTTTTTTTATTTTTTTTTAAAAAAGAAAACATGTATATTTATTTTATTTAATTTAATAATGGTAATAATATTGAATAAAAATAATCATTCTTATATTCTTTATTTCAATTTATTTAATATTTTTCTATTTAAATTCTTTGTTATAACTATATCCTTAAATTCATTTTATATACTTATATTTTACTATGATTTACTTACTTTATATACTTATATTCACCTTACTTTACATTTCTACCTTTATTTTGCAAACCTATCTATTATACCTTAAATTTCACAAACCTATTTATTCCACCTTACATTTCACAAACCCATTCACTCACTCCACCTTATATTTCGCAAACCTATTTATTCTGTCTTATATTTCACAAACCTATCCACTCCACCTTGTGTTTTGCAAATCTATTCATTACACCTTACATTTTACAAATCCACTAATTTTATCTCACTTCGCAAACCCATCCACTCTGTCTTACATTTCATAAACCCCACATGCTCTACCTTGAATTTTTTTTTTGCAAATATTATATTCCTATTCTAAATACCTTATGTTTAATAAGTCCATTTATTCTATCTTACATTAAAATTTCTACTCTAAATACCTTATGTTTAATAAGTCCATTTATTCTATCTTACATTAAAATTTCTACTCTAAATATTATATATTTCACAACTCACTTTCGTACCATTACTCCAATAAGTATTTTTATATTAATAATACATATCATAAAATATCCATAAATAAACCAGCAAGTATATTACAGGGGGTACTATACACCGCAACATATGGTAATCTCAAAATTTGAAAGTGATGAATATTCATTGCCTCACTTTTCGTCATTTCTACTCTTGTTTATTTTTTGGTGTTGCAGAACTTGACAAGTAATTGCAATATAGATGATGGTATTTTTAGACTACTTCATAAATATCATAGTTTTGTAGTATTGATAAATATGCCCTGCTGTCTTCATGCCTAAAACGATAAAACTGAATTATACAAATCAAGAATTGGAAAATGTAAAAGCTTATATATACCTGAGATAATAAAACCGATTGTTTCTAGCTTTCTGATTTTATTCTTCCCATTTTCATAGTTTCACAAAGGTCATTGAACATATCTTTAAGCATTTTGGGTATTTCCAAACTCTTTTCTTTAATGATCTTTGTGTTATTGATGCCTTCAAAAAATTTTCCAGCTTCACCACACCCATATTCCATATGTCCACGCCGACTCTTGCCTTTTTCTTCATTGAAGCTGTTAATGCAACATGAATTATATATAGTATTTACAATAATTTTAATCAGACTACAATCTGAGAATGTTTCAACTACCCATTGTAAATTTTTTCTATTTGACGATGCATAGCTATATGGTTTATCTCTGTTACAAAAAGATAGTTAACTAAATTTATAATAGCGAAAAGATGTTTTCTCTATAAAAAAGCTTACCTAACAATATCCATGCCATCTATATTAAAAAATATTTTATCAATAAACGACCAAGTTCCAAGGTAATCCTTTGCATTCTTAAAAATCAATGTATAATAATATGACATAATCAAAATAACTACACTTACAGGTTATATATAGTGTTACGTATTTAGTTATAAATGAAATTTTTTAATCGATCGAGTGATTGATCATATAAATCAGGGCAAAAGATCAATTCTCACAAGTCAGAAGTATTAGACTATTTAATACACTTTCTCAGTAAGTTACATAATATGTGTAAAGAATATTATAAAGAAATACTCACCTTGCAAAAACTATTAAGATACTTCAAAAGATCTTTCGATATTTAATGGTAATTTTTTTTACTCAAATTTTAATAGTGTTATCATTATTTCCGGCGAGTTTGTCACTATCCTGGGACCAGCACTCGCGTAATGATAAGTATTATGAATAAACTCTTCTTTTCTTTGAGGCGCGTAACGATTTGGTTAATGGTTCTAATAACTTCTTTTGATTGCTAGACTGGTACTTGATCCATATCGCGATTTTCTTTTCTGGCCTCTCTGGATCTTCCACGATATACTAGTTTATCTTTAGAGTAGTAGATCGAAGGCACAAATAACAGTTTATTCCTTTATTAAGTAAAGATTATCAATTACAAGATTAACTGATTCTTATTTTATTGCTGGGCTACCCTACTTCTATTTATATTACTAGTGATGCGTACAATTATCTATTGTGCATCATGCAAATCACCCTAAGCTCAAGAAGCTTCGGTGCCTATCACTGATGCATCATGTTATTGCGCCACACCATGCCTATCAACAATAGCAATTTTTTTTTTACCAAAATTTTTTAATTTCTTTTAATTCCTCAGTGAAGATGCCGGGTCAATTATAAAAGAATGAAAAATCATTAAATTGTAAAAAAAAAAAAAAAATACAAGTAAATGCTTACTGTTCATATGAGCACTTCATTCCAAATGCATATAATGCATCAACAATTTTTTCAATTAACAAAGTCCAATTATCTTCTTTAATTTTTTGATATTTATTTGTAAATTGCTGATATGCAATCGAAATCATTTTATAACACCATCATTATTAGCTTCCTCAACATTAATATCTTTATCAGTTCTGATCTATGCACATCAAAAATATAAAAAAGGTAAGACAAGACCTCCAAGATACAATATAACAAGACTTCACTTTTGAAGAAATATTAGTCATATAGACAAATATAAAAAGTAAAACCTGTACCATCTATGACTCATATAAATATCTGGCAGCATACTGTCCAATAAAAACATGGCAGGCACAATAGAAATTATACAATTAGAAACAAGCAAACAAATTTAGCAAACTCTATTAAAAATATAATCAAATATTAAGAGAACCTTTGAACTAAGCAAATCCAATACTCATCAACACAAACCAAACTTATATGTAACAGTAGTAAAACAATAATTTAGAATTACAAAAAATATAACAAAAAATACTAGCCTTATAGAAATTATGTGATAGATATAACAAAATATCCAGGAAATCAAATAACAAATAACTAAGCTAGATAAAAAAATAACAAATTTGAAGTATTATAAGGAAAATGAAATCAGAGCAATAAAGGCAAAAGACACTGGTGAAAAATCAACTTCTGAAAAATTCACAGTTTAAACAGAGACCTCCAAAAACAATATATCTTAAAGACAAGAAATTAAAAACTTATAAGCCTATTAATAACAATTTTATGCAATTATTAACAACAATAACTAAACTATAAATAACTTATTAAATATTATTCACACATTGATATTAGAAAACAATAATCTCTCTAATCAATAACAATTATATGGATAACAATTATAGTATAACAATAAAGGTAAATAATATCATCAACAATTTTACAATACTATATAACTCAATTAATAACTATCTAGAGAAAGATATAACTATAGTTGAAAACAAAAATGAGAAACCATCTACTCCTTAAACATATATATAACAAATAATCTATAAATTTCTCCAATGAAAAAGACATATCAAATAAACAAAAATTAATATAACAATAGAATCACAAATATATACAAATATATATTAAACATTATAAATACTAACAAGGAAAAGATACTCTTAACTAAAGATAGCAAATAAATTATAGACAACCCTAATATCTACAAATACAAGATAACTCCAAAATACAAAATATAGAAGCTTACAATATACAATATCAGGGTTTTAACAATCAAGCCAAAAGAAAGATATAGATCAAATATTATAAAGAAGAAAACATAAACATAGTAATACTCATAGAAACACAAATTATAACAAATGATCACAAATTTTGAAAGACTTCAAGATATTATACAACATGAAGCAACAATAATAAAAATACTAATATCATGATTATAATTAGAAAAGATATTGCAAACCATATTGACAAAATCATAACATTCCAAAAAGAGGTATCTGCATGGATTTGAACTTTAAAGACTACAAACTTATTAACATAATTGGAATATATATTTTCTTTCAAAACAATCAAGACTACAAGTTAACTATCAACTGGATACAAGAAAAAATCTAAGCAAGGCAATACAAAGATAGCATCAGGAAATTTTTAAAATAATAAACTTCAGAAATTTTTATTTCAAAAAAATTTAAAAATCTTTGAAATAATAATAATTATATTAAAATAAATAATTATTTAATA